CATTCCGCTGGGGACAAAGAGTTGGTTCAGCGTGCCGGAATCCCTGGAGATCATTCTTTCCTCTGTGGACCTGTTGCCAGTTTGATATTCAGTCAGATGCACTTGTTTCCATTTGTTCTCACTTTTAGGTTTTCCTTCCCTTCTGATTTAATTTGTTAGAATATTTACATGGCTCAAAATCTAAAACCCTCGTGCCCTCTAGACCATGCGCCCCCCGTGCGGCCTCCTAGAGGTAACCGGGCTTTTAGTCTCTGGCCTCTCCTTGTCATGTTTCTGTTTGTTTCAGAAAGTACGGAAATAGGTTTTTATTTCTCCTTGTTTCCTTATTCAACAGGTAGCATGCCAAATACACGCTTTTTCCACGTTGCTTTGATCCATACCATTGTGTCCTGAGCTTGGCTCCCTGCGGAGACCCCTGTGTTGTGTGTGCAGCTACATCGTAGGGCGCTGGGCGTGAGTGTTCGCTGACGGCCGTTCGGCCGCTTCCAGGCTTCGTGGTGTCAGACAAGGCAGCAGCTCCAGCCTCGGGTTCACACGTTCTCTGCACTTGCCCGTGTGCTCGGGGCGTTGCGAGCTATCGGATTACGGCCATCAGCCGCCCCCCGTGGCAGCCCATGGCCAGTCTGCTCCCGCCGCAGCGCACGGGACGGCCTGTTTCCTCAGGGCCTTGCCCGCAAAACAGGCTGTTCAACTTTGGGATTTGTACAGCTGATCGATGTGACGTGGATCTTAGTGAAGTTTTAGTTTGCGTTTCTTTTATAATGAGTGAAGTTGAGGTCTTTTATATTTGTCTTTGTCTGCAAACTTCTATTCATATCTTTACATTTTCCCATCCAAATTTTTGTTTTTTCTGTCCTCTTATTTTGGGAACTCTGTTTATTAAGGAGATTAGCTGTTGCCCATGATATAAATTGCAGGTATGTTCTCCTGCTTTGTCATTTTTACTTTGCTTTTGGTGGGTTTTGCTATGTAAAGTTTCATTTTATTTTATTTTTTAATTTTTTAAGGTTTTATTTTTAAGTAATTTCTCCATCCAGTGTGGGTCTTGAACCCACAACCCTGAGACCAAGAGTCCACTGACTGAGCCAGCCAGGCGCCCCGTAAAATTTTGTTGTTTTGTCCTCTAATATGGTGGTCTTTATTTTTATTGCTTCTAAATTTCTGAGTCCTGGGAGTCTGTGCGAAGGTGTTCACCTCCCCAGCTCATAAAGAGATCCACACATGGCTTCTCCAGGGGCTTGTAGGTTTCGTTTTTCACATGAGACTTCTGGTCTGTTTGTAGTTTATCCTCTTGTACGATGGGAGATAGGGATCCAGTTTTATCTTTTTTCAAATGTCTCTCCCTTTGACCTAGTGCTGTTTATTAGAAAGTCTGTCTTTTTCTTCAGTGACTTGAGAGCTGCCCTTCTCATATACCCACATTTTTTATTACTTGGGTTTATGTCTGGATTTTATATTTTGTTCCATTAGACCACAGGTTGGCAAACTGATTTCTGTTAAGGGCCAGATAGTAAATATTTTAGACTTTCTGGGTTACATATGTTCTCTCTGGAATCTTCTTTTTTAACAATCCTTTAAAAATGTGAAAGCTAGTCTTAGCTCCCAGTTGGATCAGCCCGTGGGCTGTGGTTTGCCAGACTGTGCATAAGAGCACCTGTCCACACACGGTGGGCATGCTGTTGAGTCAGAGGTGTGCTTCTCTCTGACGTATAGGCCCCCCCGCCGGGTGCTCTAACCTGCAGGGCCTCCTGCACATTCTGGCTGGGCTGGTTTTCTACATGAACTTGTTAGCCCTTTATGGGGGTCTGCTGAATCCATGGGTTAACGTGGGGAGAGCTGTCCTGCCAGGGACCGGGACATCCTTTTAGGTGCTCATTTCTATCTCCCTGACTTTCCAAAGACACGGAAGTGATCCTCATGCAGGTTTTGCTGTTATCCTGCTTTCTGACCAGTTAAATCTTGTCTTTATCATTACCTTCTTTTTTATATTCTCCAGTGTTTTTTTCCTGATTTGAGTTGCTTAATTCATTTAATTCTTTTGTTTTTGTGGATACAATTCATTTATTTTAATTCTTTTGTTTTTGTGGATACAAAATATTCAAGGCTATGAATTTTCCTTTGATTACTGCTTTATGCTTTGGTGATTCAGATAAGTAGTACTTTTATTCTTTTCTAGAAAATCTGTTTGGATTTTGTTTTCCATTTGATGTAGAATTATTTAAAGGTAAGTTGTAAATTTATTTTAAAAAATTTGTTTCCAGTTTCTAGTTTGTTGCATTGTGGTCAGAGAATATTGTTTGCGTTATTTCTACCTTGTGGAGTATATTTAGGTTTTCTTTGTGGCCTAGTATATAGTTAATTTTTATTAATGTTCCAGATACACTCGAAAGATACATTTGGTGTTATTGGGGAACAGTGTTATACGTACATATGTTCTACCTAATGGATTAGCCGGTCTGGCCTTCCATACCCTTGTTTATTGCCCACCTGACCTGCCTTAAAAACAAAGTGATTAGTTGGTCTTTACTATTATTATGTTTTTGTCTGTTTCTCCTTGCGTCTCTAGATTTTTGCTTTGTCATTTGGTGTGTAGATATTCCTAGCTGCTGTATATTCATCGGGCGTTGTAGACTGTAGCGTTATGAGGTGCTCGTCATCTGCGGGAGTTGTGGATGCCTTCGCGGAGCAGGGGTGTTTGTGGGTCAGGAAGGAGAGACGGAGACTGAGGACCATCCAATCAGAGGAAGAGCACCCACCAGACTTGGATGTGGGGGTGTGGCTGGACTAAGGCTCAGGAAGGAGGCCGGCTGGGCTGGGGCTCAGTGTTTATGAGGGGGGTGAGAGAAGTGAGCTTGGGGGCCTGAGCAGACCCTGGGGAGGTACCACTGCCCCTGGGATCAGTCTTGGTTGAGTAGGTGGTCAGCATCATTGCAGACTTTTGAGTGGGATGGAGATGACACAGGGTTCCCTTTGTGGATGCTTTGGCAGTGCTGTAAGATGGACTGCAGGGAGCGTGGACCTCAAGGAAGGCCACCGAGGAGCTGGTTGTCTGAGCCAGACTGGAGTGAAGGGGCCCAAGCCTGCGGGGGGAGGAACTAGGCGCCTCCAGCATGAGAGCCCTGAGGCTGGGCCCAGACCAGGATGGCCCCCACACCCCCAAATGCCTCCCCCAGGTACTCAGCATGCCATTAGCTCTGGGCTCAGGGTGTCACCCTGTGACCGTGAGCTGCATAGGCGGGGACCCTGTCCGTCCCCTTCCCCCATGTTATCCCTGCGCAGTGCTTGGCACACATGCTGGGGGCACCACAGTTATCTGTGGAGTGTGGATTCATGGTGCGTTGAAAGGACCAGGCAGCTGAGTGGATATAGTAGTGGTGTTGGAGTGGGAGGCGGCCTGGGTGGGGCGTTGCAAGGGCCCGGTGCCCGGGAAGCGCTCTGGGATGATGCAAGGAAGAGCTGGTTGAGGGGAGCTGGAGGGTCCAGTTGGGACAGGCTTCGCTGGGGAGCAAGGAGAACTCTGGGTGGGGAGTCTGTGGGTCTGGGCGACGCTGGCGGTGGAGTGTGGCGGTCCCGGGGCCGGCTGTCCGCAAGTGTCATTTGGGAAGTTGGCCCACAGAGTTCAAATCCGTTCCGCCTCTTCGAATCAGAAGTCTGACCGGTGTGGAAGCCGGTACCTGAGCGCTTCCTTCTCCTGTAGCCCAGGTGGGCCTGGCGGGGGGGAGCGGCGCCATTGCTGTCATGAGCTGGGGCTTGGGTGTTTACAGGTCTTTGTTCCTGTGCGTCTGACGAGCCAGCCTCAGGGCTCCCTCAGTTCGGGGGTGTCCTGACAATGACCAGATGCCACAGGCCACCTGGGTCTCAGCTGGCTGGCGGCACTGGGGTCGGGGTGGTGAGTGTCCTTGGCCTCCACTGGCCCTGTGACTCTGGTCACTTGAGAGGGAAGCTAGGGACTGGCCTGCCACTGTGTGGTGTCACTGCCATCCCCTCTCTAAGCCTTTTTCCTGACTCTTTCCTGCCCCTCCACTCCATGAGGTGCCCCCGTGACCTCTCGCTTGGCGGGAGCCAGGCCTGTGGCAGCTGGTCCTGGCGCTGTGTCCCTTGGGCCCACGAGAGGCCCTCCACCCCACCTTCTGTCAGCCCCCAGTGCTGTGTCCCTTCCCAGCCTGCGTCCCTCCTTCAGCTGGAAGCACCATTCTGGTCTTGAGAGCAGGGGGACACCCCGGGGCTGAGGTGGAGGGAGGTGGGGTGGGGATCTCAGCCTGGCCTGGAACCTGCTCCCAGTGCTGAGTAAACATGCACCCTTCCACCCCCGAGTCAGTGTTCTGCTCCTCGGGGGCTCCGTAAACATATTATTGGTGGGAAGGGGGAAATGTGTGAATGTGTTCCCCAGCTTTGCTGCTCCCTGCACTGTAACTAATGATGACTTCCGTGGTGTTTTTGTCAACTTAGAGTTGATGGTGATGCCACGTGGCAAAGCCTAAAGGCGGGGGCTGTAGTTCACCCCCGTCTCTCAGTGAGGAGCCCGAGAGCCGGGTGCAGCCCTGGGAGGCTCTGTGCTAGGGCCGTACTTGGGGTCTTCTGAGCCGCTCACCTTGAGCTCAGCTTGAGCTCTGCGTGTGTGTGTGTTCTCCCGGTTGTGACAGCAGACCACGTTTCTCCTTAAACCCTGCACGCAGAATAGTGACCTCCCTGGGCAGCCCCATCAGGACATCTATCCCTGTTCAGGATAGACTGTTTTACAAGGACTCGGTGAAAACCATGAATCATATTCTGGGAGGAGTTCAGTGTATGTATTGGAAAGAAATGTCGACTTCTGGATGTGACTCTGTATTTTGTAAATTTGGGTATTTTATGACATTTTTGATTGATGTGTTTATTAAACTGTAGTTATGATGGAAGCAGAAATTAGTGATTGTGACCACAGCAGGAATCACTTCAAAATGTAAAGATGGTAAATGACTTGAATCACCTTTGGGCTCATTCGAGGCCTCTTTGGACAGGGCCTCCTGGCTTTCAGCTCAAGTACCTGGTGGAGCCTGGCTTCCTGAAACCTGGAGAACAGCGCTGGTTCACCCACTACCTGGCCACCCAGACCCTACAGATCGACGTCTGGGATGGAGACTCCTTGCTCCTCGTGGGATCTGCGGCCGTCCAGATGAAGGTGGTGGCTCTGCGAAGGCCGAGCCCAGTTAGGGTGGGGTGTCCCTCCTGGGAGGGTCTGCTCCGTAGGTGGTCTGACTGTTCACAAGTTCTGTCCTTCCCCAAAGGCAAAGATTTTCACAAAGTCTCAGTTGTGTAATGCTAGGTTATATTTTCTGTCATCAGTCAGCTCCTCCTACAAACCGACCACAGGTAAGGTCACCTTTGCCCCTCCACCCCCTCAGGACAGTGAGGATGCACATTCCCTGTGAGCAGCAGCCTGGCCCACCAGGGGGGCGGGGGCAGGGAGGAGGGACCTACTGGGGTGTGCAAAGGTCACCCAAAGCCTGCTATGGTAGCAGAATTGTGCTTTTCTAATTGTAATTAGAATTAGAATCTAATTCTTTCTCTAATTGTGCTTTCCATCGTCCTCGTATACTAAATCCTAAATCCATGTGTTAATTAAAGATTCTTCCCTGGGGTTTCTCCCAAGAGGGTCAGCGTAGTTGCATGGCAGCTCCTGGGCTTGGGACTGGGGACACGATGTCCTGGCTGCGGGGCGGAGGTGGGAGAGGGCACAGCACCGCAGCCCCAGTTCCTGCATCTCTGAGAGTCACCCGCTCTCCTGGACTCCCATTAGTGGACTTCCTTCCGGATTCCAGCCTCGGGCGCCCCTCGGTTCCCCCCCGCCCCGAGCCTTGCCCCTGCAGCTGTCAGTGTGGTCACTGAGACTTGCGACCCAGCCCCATCGTTGCTCGCTCCTTGGCACCCCTCACCATGACGAGCTCACGGCTCCTGTTCCGTGGTGTGCCTGGCTGTGTGCGCAGCTCCCCTGAATCCGTGCCCCTCTTCCTCTGGGGGTTGCCTGTTCCCCCTCTTCCCTCTGAGGGCTCACCTGGGCTGCACCATCCCTCCTCCACCCGACTCAGGTGTCCATCCACGAGGGGTGATGCCCCCAGGGGACTGGGAGGAGCAAGGGCAGGGGTCACCCGTGGTGAGCACTCAGCAGATGTGGGCTGATGCTCTCATTCCTCACCCTGGTCCCTCGGACCTTCTTGGGTCACAGTGCCCACGGGATTGTCGTGGCCATTGCTTGTCTGTCTGTGATGCTGGCTGATGACATCCTGGTGGGTGGGGATGGGACAGTCAGTCTTCATCTCCGGCACAGTCACGACCCACAGTAGGCATGGTGCTGCGTAGATTGAGCAAGTGGAGGGGGCACCGAGGGAGTGGGAGGGAACAGAGGGGTGAGGAATGGAGGGAATGGAGGGAGGAGGGAGGAGGGAATGGAGGAGGGAGGGGCACTGGAGGGGCAGAGAGGAGCCCCTGTGAACTGGGGACGGTCACGGCTTCTGCCTCAGCCCCAGCTGAGCCCTGTGTCCCTGTGTTTTATCACCTGGAGACGAAGTTATTTTATCTTGTCCTCCACGAAGAGCCCCTGAAACAAATGCTCTTGTGGTTATTGACCCTTGCATAAATTAAAATTAAATTTTACTTTTTAAAAATAAAGTCTTTAAAATTTATAGAGAAGAGATGGGAAATTTAGATGAGAAGAGCGAATCCCCTGTGACTGCAGGTGCTGGGCTAGTTAGGTGCCTTTGGTATGTGGATTTTCTGGAAGGTGTGGTGCACCGTGGCTTGGCTCCCCTGCTCGTGTTGTTGGCTGTGAGGGATTTTTGCCGGTTGCCCTGTGAGCGACGTTGCAGTGAGCTTCTCGAGGTTCGGTGTGCCCTACCTTCGGCTCCAGTCCCGCGAATACGACAGCGTTGTTAGGGCGATAGGCGCTTGCGCTGCACTGTCCCCGTGTCCGGCTGGGAAACTGAGGCCCGAGTCGCGCTGACAGTGGCCGAGCCAGGCATTTAGCTCAGTTCTGATTCGGAAGCTTGTGCTCTTTACCGTTACGCTCTGCTGCTCTCCCCAGATGAGAACTTGCCGGAAGTGTGTTTCTGACTCAGAGCTGTGCTCCCGTGGCAGCCCGGCACGCAGTCGGCCTCGGTTACCCAGCGACCCTGCTCCCGCCCGCCACCTGTCTTCTAGCCACACTGAAGCCCGATGCTCCAGGCCCCGGGTGTGGGGGGTCTGCACTCTGCCCCCAGCCTTCCCTGCCTGGCTCCTACCTCCTTCTTGAAGCTCACTTACCGTGGATGGGGTCTGCTCAGCGTCCCCAGCCTTGTTCTGTTGCTCGTTTCCCATTGTTCTCTCCACAGAACAGAAGGGGCTTCAGGAGGGTGGCTGCCAGGCCTGTTTGTGCACCTGTGGTGTTCACTCAGTGGGTGAATTGGGGTGCACTTTATTAGAGAATTTGCTGGAAAGACCTGGTATCAAGGGCGTAGGCTTTCAGAAGAAGATGGGCTCTGCCTCAGCCAGCCTCTGACTGGTGCCTTTCTCCCCTGCAGCAGCTACTCCGCCAAGGCCGGCCGGCTGTGCAGGTCCTGCACGAGCTTGAGGTCGTGGCGACCGAATATGAACAGGACGTGGTGGTGAGTGCAGATGTGACCCGGTTTGGCTGTGTCAAGCCCATTGGTGTCTACACGGTGGTGAAAGGCTGGCTGCATCTGACGCTGGCCAATGTGGGTAAGAGTCCCCGGCGACTTTGGCCTCACACCGTCTCCTGGGTGGCCACTCATTTTCCCTTTTGCTGCATGAGCTCCCTCAGGGCAGTGGTCCTGTTGTGGGCATCATATAATCAATAGGAATTCAGAAAAACTCTTACTGTTTGACCACTGAGTCTGCCCTCAACCACTGGGTATCTGTCTTTAACCACGAGCATCTGTCCTTGACCACTGGGCCTGTCCTTGACCACTGGGCATCTGTTCTTGACCACGAGCATCTGTCCTTGACCCCTGAGCCTGTCCTGGCATCAGATGTTTGGTGTCCTGATTTCTCATCAGGATTTGGGATCATTAGTCATCTCAGGCTTGCCCACATTTTATTTCTTGGTGCAGTCTACGGGGCATGTCCGTGACAATCCTCAGATAAAATGACTGGTTCCAGGAGAGATTTTCATCTGGAATATCAGTCCACAGAACTACTTCATCATAGGAGAGGAGAGAGAAATGTTGCTCGACTTCCACGCAGCTTGGGGATAAGAGAACAGAGAAGCGCACTGCTTTAGAGCCTAGCACCCTGACCTTACATCTGGTGGGGTCTGAGGGTTGCTTCTTGGACACACTGAGCTCAGCCCTGGTGCACCTTCACTCACATGCTGGTGGCAGGGCATTGGGCTGGCTGTGGCTACAGTGGACTTGCCTGGACGTTCTGGAGGCTCCCCTGAGGCCCTGACCGGCAGGGGATGTGGGGCCGGCATGCCTGCCTGTGCCCCCCACAGGGCAGGGGACAAGCCCACTCAGTCTCCCTTGAGGGGACTATGGAAAGATGGGGGTTTTTCGGGGTGAAATGGAAAGCAGGACAAAATCAAGCTGTTTGAGGTTTCTGGAGCTGTGTCTGTCTAGATGAGACTCAAACCTCTCACGTTTTATGGGGGAATTTTCCATTCCTCAAAGCCCAGGCTGACTTTAAAGCCTGGAGCCCCATGGGCCACATGCGCCCGGGTGGGCAGCACGGAGGCGGGTGGGCTGGGGCTGCTGCAGCCGGAGGAGCGTGCACGGCTCATTAAGTCAGGGTGGAGGTTTCTGCCTGCTTGTTTACAGTGGTAGGATCCGAGGCAGCCTGGAGAACAGACAAAATGGAAACAGCAAAACTCAGTTAGGCTCTGGAGAAAGAAATGAGCCGCATGTGAGAAGCAGACATCATTCAGAGGCTCCTACGAGTGACGGAGCTGCAGGAAGCATTTTGCGTCTGAGATTGCATTGGTTATTTTTATATTTATTCACGGCCCACAAATGTGCAGTGACTCCACGTTTTAAATCTTATCTTCAGAAGAAAGATTAGCTCCATTATATGTTATCTTAAATTGCCGTTTCCATACTTTGCCTGCAAGAGAGCGATAGCGCATGGGAGAGAGTCGGAGACGCGTGCCCGAGAGGTGCGGACGCAGAGGGCGATTAACAAAGGACAGATGCGCGCAGCACACTGGTCCATGCGGCCATGCTGTGCTTTCCTCTGTCAATTTTGCATTTTTTGGAAAAAAAAAAGTGTTGTGGATTCATTTCTTTATGAAACTGATTGTTCTGCCCCGAGCGGCAGGCAAGATAAGGCTGGGTGAGCTTCAGGGGACAGAAGCAGGGTCAGGCCAGCATCCCGGTGCCTGTCCGGCACTCCATGGCTCCGCATTCACAGGGCGTGCGGTCTGGCGCGAGGCTGCAGACGAGGCGCCCTCTCCGCGCCCAGGGAGGGGTGGTGCTCGCGCCCGCGGCCTCTCGGCTCAGACAGGCTCCGTGATGGTCTCTGCAGCCTCGTCTGCAGTGTCTCTCAGTGATCTTTCGTTATGTAGGGGTCACGAGAACCATGCTCTCCCATCCCAGTGATCCTGGTGGTGCGGTGTGACTGTGTGGTTCATCTGCAGCCCTTCTGGGGGGCCCGCCAGGGGAGCAAGGGGCTGCCCCGACCCCCAGCTCCATGTTCTCAGGGTTGAAGGAGAACCGGGTGGGTGTGGACAGATGGCCTGGGTTTGGGGTCGGACATGGTGACATGCTGTGCTCCTGCTGTGGAACGAGGTAGTTGCAAACTGCGTCAGGAGCGCTGCCTATCTGGAGGGAGTTTCTGCACCCCTGGCAGATGTGCGGGTCCCCAGATTAACCCAGGTCTCACTGAAGGGAGAGAAAGCCCACAGCGGCTGGAGACTGTGGACCGTACCCTGAGGAGGTGAGCACCTTTGTGCGTCCGGTCCCGGAGTCAGCGCGTGTACGTTCTACTGACGTAGTTTATTGTCCCAGCTTCCAAACAAACCGTTTCTCTGAGTGCAAATACCACCAGAGGAAACGGCGACGCTCAGGGACGGCCCTGGTCTGTCCGGAGGTGACTGCGTGGCCCTGCTGGTCCCGCATGCCACGGTGACAGTCGTGACTCCTGAGAGCCCGGCTCCAAGGCTGCTGGCCGCGTGCCCCCCGAGCTGTCTGCACCAGATCCTGACCTGCAGCCGTTTCCCTGGCTTCTGTGCGTCCGTCCCAGTGGAGCGATCACCAGGCTGAACAGAGGCCGTGGGCACGTCAGCTGGACACGGGGGAAGGCCTCCCTGCCTGTGCTTCAGGGAAGGCCACGGAGGGCTCCCAAGTTCCCTCAGGTGTGGCATGAATCCGTTGTCCCGACAGGGAGCGGAGGTGGCTCGTGCCCACTGCCAGGTGACTGACGGAGCACGCCCTCAGGGTGGGATGGAGAGCTTGCCAGACCATCCGCCCACACTGGGAAGAAACAGCGCTGAGAGCAGGGAGCCCGGACCGACTCTGAGCTCGGGGCAGGAAGTGGGTGCACCTGGGCTGGGTGGCGCCTCGTTCCCTCTCACGTGGAGAGCAGGTGATACCGGGGCAGTGAGTGTCAGGCCGGGACCTGGGCTCTGGCACCAGCTGGCTGTCCCCTCCCCACTTGGCCAGGCTGTCTGTCCTTGCCTGTCTGCTTGTTTGCTTGTCTGTACCCCTCAGGGCCTGGCGGCTTCTGGGGGACACGGCTGGTTCTTCTTGCTGTGATGGTCGCCCAGCAGCAGCCACAGTGGCCTGGCGTGGTGATGCGAGCTTCGTTGAATGGGTGGATGAGCGAGTGTGAGAGCCTGTCTTGCTTCCAAATCTGTTCCTCCTGGACTTGGGCTGACAAAGCAGGCCCTGAGGCGTGAGCAGCTGATCCCACCGAAGTGGTGTTCACACCAGGTTCCATTCTTGGGGATGAGCCTCACGACCTTGTGACGCTGTGTTGGGGGTAAACTGACCCGAGGGAGATGAGAGGACTGTGTTTGGCAGAGGACTCGGCAGCCCCTCTGTCTGCAGGGGAAGAGCAGAGAAGCAGCTGCGGGTGGGTGGTGGGCAGACCCCGTGGAGAAGTGCTTCCCAGCAGAGGAGAGACCGAGAACAGCTGGGACTCGAGACGCAGGGCCAGAGGGAGGGACGGGGGTGGCAAATGTGGTGTCTGCCCGGAGGTCTGAGCCTGAAGGTGGACGTGTGCACTGCGCATACAGAGCTGACGTCGGGGGAGGGACGGAGCTGCAGGAGGACAGGGCCTGGCACCGAAGTCCCCCCAGGAAGAGACCCCAGGTAGGATTGTCACTGCCTTAGTGGCCAGGCTGGTGAGGAACCCACTGCAGAGGAGGCAGGCCTGCGTCTGGCGTCTCATGGTGACATGGCGCACGCCCAGCAGGCAGAACCCGGGCTTGACCTCAGGCTTCGCCAGGCCCGGAGTGTGGTGCTGCATTAGGGAAGGCTCTAGACAGTGAGCGCCACGCCTGTCCCGGCGAGCTGATCTCCCTGGCGGGGGGTGCGGAACTCGGCCAGTGTGCCAGCCTTGCCCGGGGCTGCTGGCTGAGCTGTGGACGCTCTGGGCAGCAGGGCAGATAACCAGGAGCGGCTCTTGTCGCAGGAAGCCTGGGGGGAAGGCCAGCCTGATGTGTGATTCTCAGAAAACACTCGAGAGGACCAGAGGAGTCTGAAAACGATGAGAATGGAAGTCCCCAGGGGCAGGACTCTGCTCACCTGTGTGCCGCCAGCCGTTAAAACACGCCGAGTAAATCACTTCTTGATTTGGCCAGAGGTGGTTTCAGTCTGTCTGTTGTTGTTGAATCGAGCATTTTTCCCCACACCCAGACTGGGGCCTTAGTCCTTGCTAGTCGCCTGAGGGATGGTCTGCTGTCACACCCGTGTCTTTGGGGTCTCCAGCTGCTATCCCCTGGGGTCTGCAGGGGCGGCCCCCATTGGCAGCCGGGCAGAGACCACGTGACCTCCCTGGCGGGACAGGCATTCCCTTCCCGAGCCAGTCGAGAGGGAGACGTTTCTGTCAGGCAGCTGGAGACGGAAACGTCACCTTGGTCAGCACTGCTGAGGACCAGCTCACCGCTGCGGTCAGGGCCGTGCTCCTGTGCCCACAGGACAGAGGCAGGGGAGGGCGGAGCTGAGCGGGGAAGCCCGCTGTCCGCTGGGGCAGAGCGGAGGCCAGCAGAGAGGTGGGGAACAGGCACCCGGGGGGAGGGGTACCTCTTCTAACAGCTCCCAGAAAGATCGCCAGGACGCCCCATGCCTGCGGGTGTTCAACACCATCCTGCCGGAATCGGGGAAGCCCACAGCGCGAGCGTTTTGCGTCTGGAACTTGGGGGGGTCCGTTTTGGAATCCGACTTCATCAGCTGTACTCTGCCTCCCCTGAGGGGGGAGTCCTGTCCTCGCAGAGGGGCCGTGGGCTCCGAGGGTAGGATGCCCTTCTCCCCTGGGCCTCGCACACGTTGGCCGTTCAGCCGGGGCAGGCGTGCTTTGTGCTCCGCCTCTGGGCTCGCGCAGGCCCTCTGAAGCTGCGTGCTGCTTCTCTCCAAGGCTTCTGTGGGAAAACAGCTCTAGAAGATTCTAGCTTGCCGAGGCTCTTTTACCTTCAAGTGTGTTTGAAGTCAGACGTTTGTGGACGTGCATGGAGGCCTCCCCCGAGTAGCGGGCGTGGGAATGCGTGAGCCGTCCCACGAAGCGGGGCTGCCAGGGCCGCTCCCGAGATCAGAAGTGAGAGTGTGAGTAAGCGCCCTGAGCGCCTGGAGCTTTAACACCCCAAGGGAGAGCAGACACACCTACCGGCCGCCTCTCAACTGCCAAGCAGAGTCAGAACCCCGAGTGCCGTTTTGGGGTGTTATCAGGCCGGGGTGTGGATGGGCCCTTAGAAGCCCAGAACTCCCTACGGGGGATATTGATGTGGCTCGTCGCACTCCTTTTGGTGTTAATACCTTCTGCTGGGATGTTTTTATTTTAGGTCACGTGTGTGAGCAGAGAGTGAGAAATTCCGGCTCGTTGCCACCTTCCAGGTCACGGGTCATCTCGAATGATGGAGCCAGCCACTTCGAGGGAGGCAGTCTCCTCACGCGCGGGGCTCGGAGACGTGAGTGAGGAGCGGCGGGGGCACGTGGGTCATGTGCGGGTGTGATTGGCGTGGGGAAAGGGTGGAGCGAGAGACGGAAGGCTGCGTGTCCGCCCGTGTGCATGCAGGTACACGTGTGATCTGGGGGCGGGAGCGGTGGCCGTCGTGTCCAGCTCAGTGCCCTGCCTCGCCGGACCCTCGGGCCGTGCAGGGTCAGCGTGTGCGTCACAGCCGGCGTGCTCTGGAGCAGGCTCCGTGGAAGCCGGCTGGGCTGTTTCACAGGCACATTATCATCCTACAAGTGTTTTTGGTTAGCTGCCCATCTGCAGGGGAGCAGGAAGTGAAGGAAGGGGTAGGATGAACAAAGACTGGTTTTTAAAAACTGATTTGAAGTCCCAACGGTGGGGAGAGTAAAGCAGTTGTGGAGCTTGGGAAGTAGGTCCTGTGCTTGGGGAGAATGTTGTCCACAGCAGGGGGCGTCTGAAGTTTTCTGTCCCCTTAAATCACCCACAGACCTGGATGCAAAGTTGTTGGTGGGATGAAAAGCAGGGCGTGCCCTTTGGGTGTTGTTCCCCCATGTTGCTGGTCATCTGGCGTGGATCCACAGCTGCCCTGAGCTTCCTGTGTTGACGGTCCTCGGGTACTGTTGTCCTTGAGCCTGTTGTGCCCGGGGAGGGAGGCCCCGCACTTTGGCTGGTGAGAGGCCTCCGGGACCCCACGTTCCCTGAAACTCCAGCCCAGACTTTGTGGGGGCTCGAGTGTTCTCCCGGGAGAGGGACCTGGGGTTCTGATGCTCAGATGGGTCCAAGGTCCATGATCCCGGTGGGCTGAGAGTCTGTTCTCCCGTTGAGTGTTGAAGAAACCAAGGCAGTGGGTGTCAGGTGACTTGGCCAGTTGAGTGGTAAAGGGTGGTGAACTTGGGTGAGAATCTGGAATTCCCACTTTGGGGCCAGTACTTCTCTGTCCCTGGCTGGTCCAAGAACAGGTTGGGGGGTATTTGTGAAAGGCCCCACCTTGGGGCCCAGCAGGTCAGGGGCTCTGCCAGGCGGTGCAGGGAGCTGTAACTCATGAGGGTTTGTTGAGCGAATGGAGGGTCTCTGGAGTCACTGGTCCCCCTCTCCCTGTTGGATCAAAGACAGAGGATGGGGAGTTCCATCAGAGAGCCTGTCTTCCCCACTGGGCAAGGCTCGGCAAGTAGGAAGTTGTGCAGAGTTTTAGAAAGTGCTTCCAGGCTCTGAGCAGTACTGGAGTTCCATTTCTGGTTTCTTTGGAACTGGGTGATACAGTCTGACCGGTGAGGTCATTGGTGAACCCTCAGCCTTGCTTGTCTCCTTCCTCCGGGACTGTGGGCCTCAGGCCACTCAAACCCGACCGAGGTGGGGTGGCCCACCCACTATGCCTGCACCCGAGATGGGAAAAATTATTTTGGGGTGGCATTTTACCTGTCTAAACTGACTCATGGCATCTGAAAGGCAACTGAAGAGCTTTAAAATGGTGATGAGGAACCTGGAAATAGCCCTTGTTACTGGCGATGGAGGAAGAGGTGGGCGAGTCAGGGGAAAGGATTGCTTTACCACCACATGGAGCGCTTCAGTCGGAGGCTGGAGATGGGGTGACGGTGTGGGACCCGGCCAGCAGGTTCAGCAGGGCGCTCATTACCCATGGGTGCCGCGGGTGCCTGAGGCTCAGGAAGGGCCCAGTCCTAAGTTGGGGTGCTCCTTCTCTTCTGCCCGCCTGCGCCAGCTTGAGTGCTGGTCCAGGAACCTCGATGTCAGCTTGTGACCTGACGTGTGCCATGCTTCGTCACCTGAAGAAAATGTGGCTCCTCCGCTGACTTCAGCTTCTGTGTGTCTGCTCACATGGCTTCTGTGTATGTCCAGGGTTTGAGCAGAGTCTCCCAGAGGAGTTGGTTCCTTGGGGGCCAGGCTGTCTAGAGGCAGCTGGGTGTAGTCAGGGGCATTAGCTCGGGAGCCAGGCCTGGTCTGAGGGCCCCCCGAACCCGAGCCTGGGCTTCAGGCCAAGTGGGCAGCTCATCAGAGCCCCTGATTCCTGATCTGAGCACACAGGGTGGGTCTGAGGACCTGGTGGGGCGGTGTCCTAAGAGCTCAGAGTGGTCCCCGAGTCAGGAGGCTCTCGCCAGTGGGGCTGCGTCCTGGATGAGGGTGTCAGCAGCCCTTGAGAACCCAGAGAGCATCAGCTTCTCGAACACTGACCTTCATTTCCCTCTGGAAAGTCACGTAACGGTGTATTAATTTGTCTCTAAGGACCAAGATCAGAATTCCTTTATTTGAAAGGCTGGTAAAGGGGGGACGCTGTGGAGACCAGCTTATACGATTACCATCTTTATCAGTGTCTTAGAAGGTACAGGAAAGGGCAAGGTGCCTGCTGAACTTCCTTCCTGGGTGAGGTGGCCGGAAGCTTGTTGCTGGGTCTGCTTAAAGAACGTAAATTCTGCACTTTAACCTTTGGCTCCCTCTTTGAACCTTCCAGCAGTAAAAAATGTGGTTCAAGCACAGAAGCTGGCTGACGTGGACCGTGAGCTGGCCGCCATGCTGTTCACGCACACACAGCACAGGAGCAAGGGGCCCCAGGGCGCCGGCCACGAAGGGGACGCTGTCCGCAGGCGCAAGCTGGAGCGGATGAGGTCCGTGCGCCTTCAGGAGTCCGGAGGAGAGCTCAGCTGCTGGGGCGCCAGCATGTTGGTGAGGGCTTCGTCCACCTCCTGCTGCCCCCGGGTGTCCCCGTGTGGGGGCCGCAGTCATTGTGAATGAAAGCAGCCTCGTCCTCTCTCTCCTCTTCTCCTGCGTGGCTCTCTCTCTCTCCCTCCCAAATCCTACTTGTGGAATGGAGGGGAGATGGACCTCTCAGCCACCAAGGGAGGTTTTCACATCAGAGTTACCTGGAGAGTTTTTATAAAAGCTGATTCTTGGGTTCCACCCCTGGAGATCCTGTGTCCAGTTGGGCCACGCACGTGCGTGTCCATAACCTGGGCTGTTAAGAAGGCTCTAGAGGGGATTCTGAGGGGCCCCCAGGTTTGGGGTCAGAGCTGTGAATGGGTCATCAGTGCAAATCAAGTACTTCATTCTGACCAGAAAAATTCCCATTTTTGTCTAAAAATCTAGAGAGGACCCTACCATATTTTGCGTCATAGACCTAGGAGGAGATAGTGGTTGTACCTGATGGGTTTGTGGAATCAAGATGCTACAGGGGCCTTGAGGAAGGTCTTTGAGGATCACCCTTTACATTAAGGCAGGCAGGTGTCTGAACAGACGTCGCCGCTCAGCCCTTCGTGCTCACAGCAGCTGGGGAAGGTTCCTGCCCTCAGGTGTGGGGTGTAGCGAGAGAGACGGAAACAGGCCAGCGAGCAAGACTGTTGGGTCTGATGGAGGAGGAGAGGCCCAGGAGAGGGCCCGGTGGGGGGCGTCCAGACTGAGCTTGTGGGGCTGGGGTCCGGATGGGCCTCCTCCCCTACGGCAGCTGCTGAGGGTGGGGCCCCTGGAGCTGGTGGCCCAGCCGCACCTTGGCTGTGTCGGCTGCCGCCCGGGCTCACCAGCAGCCGTCCCTCGTTGGGTGGCGGGCCCGGCGCACGGCAGGTCCTCAGTCAGGTGCTGCTACTGCTGGTGTCCTGTTCTTCCCGTGGTGTTGGTGGGTTTCCTCCTGTTTGATGTGTCCTGGTAGAGTTTCCACAGCTCGGAGCCCTCATTCTGAATATAGCCGTGAATTTGGGAGTAATTGGATTTCTAAATACAGGAAAATGTTCCACTAAATTCTCATGCTTTTCCTGGGTCAGCGGCCTGCAGAATGTAAGGTGGAAGTGACTTGTTTTATCGAGTAGGCAGTGGTTTCTCCCTCACCTGGAGTTCTCACAGCCTTCTTCAGAAAAAGGGTTTGTGAATTCACGAAGTCAGCGGGCCCTCTGATGAGAGCCGGAAGTGGAGCGGCGCTCAAGGCCGAGGAGCTAAGCCCCTGGCCAGTCCTTGGCACCGGATGCGCTCATGCAGTCCGCTGGTCTCGGACCCCGGGGGCTGTGCATCGGGAGGCAGAGAGCCGCCAGGGATGCTGATGGTCTGGGAGCTTCTCAGGAAAGTGGTGGAGCACAGAGTGGGGCCAGATGCCTGTGTTGGGACAGTCCCAGCATCCTCACGAGGGTGGCTCAGCTTCTGTGGCGCCCGGGACGGTGGCCGGCCCCACCTGCTGCTGTTGGTCAGCGTCAGCCGCTGTGTGCAGGCGGAGCCCCAGCCACGGGAAGACCGTGAGCTGGGTACCTTCTCCATGGGCCCCCCGGCCTGGGGAGAACGGCTGGCAGGCTATCTCCTGGTGTGGGGGGGTCCTCTGAGGCTGCAGTCTGTGTGGCAGCGGGGTCCCCAGGGCCCTTGGCCATTTCGTGTTTGAGCAGGTGCCCCAGCAGGCAGGCCTGGGGCGGTCAGGCCCCTGGGACCAGCCCCCCCCCCCCGCCCGCCCTCTGCCCGCCCCTGCAGCCCCCAGATCACCCCTCACAGTAGCAGTTTGGTGGCAGTAACCCTGCTTCATGTAGTCATCCCATGCTGAGTGCCACAGAATAGAAAGCTTTATTTCCAGAAATCCCAGCGAAAGGCTCGCCAGTCCCGTGCTCTGGTTGGGTACTGTGCTCATCCTTGACCTGGTCACTGGGCTCTGCTGCCTGTGGGGACCCAAGGGCTCCAGTAAGTGTCCTTATCCTTTGCCTGCCTGACTTGTGAATGGATTGAGAAATCAGACAGGAGTATGGCAGGGAGAGACCCAGGTGTCACCGCTGTTACTGATGACTCTAGTGATGGGTAGAGCAGACCCTGGAGCTCGGGTCCTGTCTGCGGTCAAGGTGCTTGTGACACTGAGTGTGGAGCTAATGCTGGACCCGAGCCGCCTGGGTGAGGCCGTATGGCCACAGGCCACTAACCCACCACTGGTGAGGAGCAGTGTGAGCACCTGATGCAGCGTCCACGCTGGTCGGTCCCAAAGGGAAGAGTTGAGGGAGGGCGGGGCTATGCCTGCCTGGTTCATATTCCAGAGCTTTCTGTCAGAGAAGTCGCCCCACGTCCTGTGGGGTGGAGGGAGGCCAGGGGTGCCAGGCTTCCTGACAGCTTCCTCCATGGTACGGAAGGACACAGGACAGGCAAGGAGTTTCCCTCCTCACGAGCCCCAGGGTCGTGTTGACTCTACCTGTGGCTTTTCACCTTCTGGTCTACAGTAAGCTGGGGAGTGGTGTCGCTGTGCTCTGCCCCCAGCCTCTCCCCTAGAGCCTGGGGTGGATCGTCCACTGGTGGGCAGTCCAGATTTTGTCCCTGCAACTTGGGAGTGGGTCAGAATAATGCACTGTCTCAGTTCAAGTTTGAAAAGCCCCTCTGTGCTCTATTTCTCAGCCTAAATTATGTCTGGCCATCCCTCACTCCATTAAGAAGCTCTAATCATCTGTGTCTGTGTGGGGAGGCCTCAAATATGAGCATGACCACCCTCCTGTTTTCAAATCCCCAGGGAGAAATTAAAGGCTCAGCTTCAATCCCCATGTGAGGGGAAGGCCAAAGTTTTGGATGTTGGAAAGTCAATATCCAAAGTAATTTAAGTCAGAAACCAAATTTGGTCCTTACTTCTTGAGTTGAAGTCCATAGGCATTCAAACAGCCTCTGCCTTCTGATGTCTGGGCCTCCTCAGTGTTCAGAGGTTCTCAGCACGGGGCCTGACTGGTCCCCCAGATGGAGCGGAGCGGGGTGTGGGGTCTCCTTCTGGGTGGACCTCACTCTTTAGTATAAGTCACACAGAAACATAGGCCAGTCTCCAGCCTCTAGAACACGTCATGTGGGCCAAGCCCAGTGAGTCAGGGTGTCGAGGAAGGAGGTGGTTGAAGGACCCGTGGCTGAGCCCCACTAAGGCAGCATGCCAGTTTTGTGAACTCTGGCCCAGCTCAGGTCTGCCAGGCCCCTGCTCGAAGACAGGGCTCCCGTTGCCACACTGGGGACCTGGCCAGTGAGCCCATCCCCAGTCTTAGTAGCTTTGAGGCCATTTTATCCTCTTTTGTTAGAAACCTCTGCTTCTAATTCCCCATTGTGTCCAGATGCCAGCCTCGAGGCCACGGGGAGAGTTGGCCTTGTGGGCAGTTGAAGTCTCATGGGAGCATGCAGGGCAGACCCTGCCTCCTACAGGGGAGACCGCCGCGGGGTAGAGAGAAGCCAGGAGTGCCGTGTAGACCCATTCTCTGTCCTCTGGACCTGGGGGTGGGCCAGTCCCATCCAGCCCAGGTGGCTGAGGAAGGGGGTGGTGGTGATTCCAGAAGAAATTTGGTATTTCCCAAGGGTGGGAGTGGGGGAGGTGGCGGACCGGCCCTTGAGAAGGAGAGCAAGCCCTGGTTTGGCACCTGTGTCCCCCAGGCTCAGCAGAGCATCCGTGCACAGCACGCACGCGACCTGCAGGTCATTGCTGCCTATCGGGAGCGCACGAAGGTGGAAAGCATCACCAGCGCGCTAAGCCTGGCCATCACCACCAAGCACACGATCCACGTCACACTGGGCACTGCCGAGTTCTTCGAGTTTGCCCTTAGGAACCCCCACAACATGCAGCACACAGTGACCATCGAGGTGGACAATCCCGAGCTCAGGTGGGAGTGAGCGGCGGGCCTGCCTGGGTCACCTGGGGTGACTCTGGGTTCTCCCTGAAATGAAAGCCAAGCTGTTCTTGACGTTCAAGGGTCCCGCTGATCCCGGCTTTCGCCCACTGTCCTGGGTTCCAGCTCTCAGTGGGTGGGCAGGGAACTCACCAGGAAGAGCAGTTTTGCCTCAGAGCCCTGTGTCTCCTCCCCTGCCTTCTAGCTTCATCCAGCACGGTCTCTGAGCCCGTGTCTCCCCTGCCTTCTAGCATCATCCAGGACAGTCGGGAGTGGAGGTACTTCAAAGACGCAGCCAAGCTGCACACGCCGGTGGAGGAGGATATGTTCCATCTGCGGGGCAGTCTTGCCCCGCAGATCTTCCTGCGCCCGAGGGAGACCACCCACATCCCCTTCAGATACCAGACCTTCTCTGTGGGGCAGCCGGCCCTGGTGCAGGTGAGGAGGCCATTCTTCCAATGCCAGACGGGCTTGCCAGGCACATGGGAAAATCCCACTTGGCTAAATAATGTGGGGGCGTTTCTGCGTGTCCCTCCATGCTGCTCAGACCGCTTAGCCTTGGGGTGGTCACCTGCTCTGCCAGTCCCTAGGCGAGCATGCACACAGTGGGCCTCGGGAAAGGGCGGACCGTCCCCTCTGAGTGCTCTTTAATTCTCGGGTATAGAACCTCTCCCTTACCTCGGGAGAGCTGATGGGTTGACACTTTCCAGCATTTTGTGTTCTCTAGTTAATGCTGTCTGCCCACGTTCTGTAGTGTTCGCTTGTCTGTAGGAAATGCAGGCTTGGAGGTTTCCAGTGATGGATGTGAGTGGTACATGCCGTGTGACTGGTGGGGTGGGGTGGGGGTGGGGGGCGCAGGGCATGCGTTTTATCTTTCTTTTCTTTTTTTTTTTTTTTTAAAGATTTTATTTATTTGACAGAGACAGAGCGAAAGAGGGAACACAAGCAGAGGGAGTGGGAGAGGGAGAAGCAGGCTTCCTACTGAGCGGGCACCCGATGCGGGGCTCGATCCCAGGACCCTGGGATCATGACCTGAGCCGAAGGCAGATGCTTAACGACTGAGCCACCCAGGCGCCCCCGCGTTTTATCTTTCTTACTGAGCTTTTGGGGTCAGCTCTGTAGCATAGTGGTTCTCATGTAAATGGGCTCGAGGAGCTCTCAGAGGCTCACAGAATCCTGTGTAGACTCTTTGGATGCACTTTTGGGCAAGAGGTCGTAAGGACAGTGAAGAAGACGTCAGGCCTTTGGCTTCAGGCGGAGCCGGGTTGCATGTCGGGTGGGCCTTCACAGTTCCTGGCAGTCCCTGCTCCCTCTTTGGGATAGGGAGGCTGGTTTGTGACAGTGGCCGTCCACACGGTTATTATGAGAGCAGATGAGACCGTGCACGGGAGCCCTCGGTCCCAGGGGCAGCGGTTCCTACAGGGAGAAGTCCTGCAGCTAGAAGGGCTCCTCACCCTCCAACTCCCATCTCGTGACCTGCCGGTGCCGACTGGTTTCTCACAGGCCTCTGCTGAGCTGCGATCTGAGAAGGGCACGGACGCCAGGTCGCCCCAGAAGTCCAGTGCAATGCCCACTAAGCATGCCAAGGTAAGAGGGCAGGACACCTGCGACCCCAGACGGTCCCAGGGTCTTGCAGTGAGAGCCAGGTTTCCCCTGAGCAGACCCAGTGAGATGTTCACGACTTCTGTTGTTACTCACGCTGCTGGGGCCTGGCCCTCTGCCCTTCACTGAACCTCCTGTGGTGGGGGGGTGGGCGGTGGTGGTGGAGCAGGCCCGTGGAGGTGGACTCTTCCTGTGCTGACCGAGCGGTGGCTGCCTCAGGCATTGCTGGTAGGGTGTCTGCGTGGGTGTCCGGCCTGGAAGCCTCTCCCTGGCCACTTGCCCCTTGCAGCCCTTGGTGCTCTGGGTGCCTGCCCCACGCCCTGGAAGTACAGCTGTCCCAGCACACGGCCAGCACACACGGGGGCTAGACTGGCCCCCTGACCCTCGCCCACAGCTTCGCCACGGCCCATAGGATCAGTGTGGGGGCTGTGGGGTTACTTCTGGGAATGCTCATTCCCGCCTATAGGGTAGGCAGGTTTGCACACGCCAGCAGCCTGTCTGTAGGATGTCCTGAGGGGGAGCTCAGGACACTTGTTTTTAGGAATTTCTGAAGCTTTTTTTGGGCAGACAAATGCCTTTTTGAAGTAGTTTGAAAGTAAAAACAAAAGCAACAAGACTTTGCCCCACCCCCGCCCCGAGAACAGATTATTTCAGTGAGTCTCAGATGAGAAGCTGGCTCCCGACTGCAGGCCTGTGTTCCCGTCTCGCTGTGGTGGCCGCTTGTGCCCTTGGCCCCGTCACCAGTGGAAACTGCTTTATTTTACTTAATGTGGAGGCACAGCTTTGCCTTGCTTAAGGAATATCAGCTGTTTATGTAGGGCTATCGAAATCTGAGAGGCTAGTACATTTTCTGTACATGGATTTGGAGTTTGAAGGCAAACCCCAGAAATCTTTTGAGTTCACCGGTGATGAGGTCAGTCTGTGTCCCTAACAGATAAGGACTTTTAGCCTCGCCGTGTGCCACTGTCCCTGCCCCCGATCAGCAGCAGACCCTCCGAGTCGCCTAGTGTCCATCCTGTGCTTACTTGTCTTCTCACGTGTGGTTTGGGTGAGTCCGGGCCCACTGACTCCAGGGCCCCGTGTCTTCTCTCCCCTCGGGTTCATTGCCCACACACATTTTCAGGGTGGGAAATGGGGAAATTCCACTTCTTTCATTCTTCCTGGACTTGTTAGCTGGGATTCTGCCATAAACAAGAATTTCCCCACCAGCAGTTTGGTTGCCCTGAAATACACTTTATACCAGAAAGTCAGGATAAGTGTTGGATTCTTTCATTTTGTTTATCAGTGTTCAGAGTAATGAATTGCGCCCTGGCAACCTCCAGAGGCGGTCAGTGTTTGGAGTCTCAGTATGAACGCACAGGGGTATGTTTGCTGCTTCTCGTCTGAGGCAGGCACTGGGCGCTGAACTGCTGCTCTCCGCCACCGCCATCCCTTTCAAAGCACTGTTGTTTTTTTGTTTTAAAGATTTTATTTATTTATTTGACAGAGAGAAACAGAGAGGGAACACAAGCAGGGGGAGTGGGAGAGGGAGAAGCAGGCTTCCCGCCGAGCAGGGAGCCCGATG